AGTCTATCTGACAAGGGTGACAGGTTTGGTGAAACGGTCGCCAGTGGATGTTAGTAAATCCTCTCTCATTCTTTGGGTCCAACAAGTACTGAATGAAGTGAGTGAAAGTTGGATTGATTCCATCCGCAAACATTTTCTCACTGCTCTCTGGGGCCTGGGAGACGTTGTTGTATAACATAACCATTTTGACGGCGTAGTTAAAGAGGTACGAATTGGGTGACTCGAACTTATTTCGGAACAGAGAAATCAGTCGCACAAATGGGTGGCGGATGAACAAAAACGACCTGTACGATTTGAGGCGAGGCTTCATGAAGCTACTGAGATGTTTGCCTTTTTTCCATTTGTCAAAGTAAGAATGCCCGAAGCCGGTGGAAACTTTATTGGGATCTTTGTGCACGTTGAGGGCTGCAAGGACTCGCTTCCAGTTGGTGCAAGCGACTTTGGCAACTGCACAGTAAGCGATCTTCCTCTGGTCGATTGCAAAGAAAGTTTGAAACTCTCTCTCCGGAATGTCATCGTAAGACCAGGTTTTCCCTGGGAAAGTAATGCCGGGATCTGCACAAACTTCACGAATTCTCAGTTTCCTCTCCTCTTGGATCTGTAACATGCTTAGGCGACTGTGGGTGGGATGGGTGAGCTGCAGGGAACCGGAATGGCTTGGCATCACAGGTTTCCAGGCGGGAGTGTTTTGCCTCTGGCACCAGTAAAGAATGATCAATGCCTGGACAATCAACAGCCCAGCAGAAGCCCAGAAGACATGGAGTCGAACCATTATGTTCAGAAGTTCCCTGAGGTTCCCAAACACTAGGGTCTAAATTCCAATGGATTTAACCTGAAACATTTTTAATATGTGAGAATGTTAATACTCCAAATTCAGGAGTTCTGAATAATATGCAGCTTGTGAAGGGAAGAGTTGCAAATTGTCTCCGTCTTCCCAATGAAGCAGAGTGTTGGCCTTTGCAAGCCTGGACGTGATGAAAGTACGGGTAAGTGACCCAAGGGAAGAGGTAGTGGCAGAGGCGGGCAGTGTTGTGGACGTGGGTGAAGGCTGAATGGGTCGAGGCACAGATGTGGGTTTTAAAGGACAGTTGAGAGTTAAACAGGACACTGAAGTTCTGTACTGGCTCAGGAAGGGTGAGAGTGCATATGTATAGAATGATGTTATCAGCGCCTGAGATGAGAAGGTGAGAAGATGCTGACAGGGGTCAAGCAGGAGGTACCTCTGTCTTGTCAACTGGAGAAGGTTAGCTGTCATCCAGTACTGGTCGTTTGATAGACAATCTGTCAGGACAGTCCTGGTCCCGGAATCGAGAATGGAGGCAGAGAAATAGAGATAGATTTATAGAGATAGAGTTGGATGTCAATAAACAAGGCAAACAGGATGCTGGGTTATATTGCTAAATCCGTTGAGATTAGATTCCACAGACATCATACATGAGCTGTAATGGACTCTGGTCAGACTACACTTTGAATACTGCATACAGTTCCGGTCACTGTGACAAAGAGGGGCTTCCCAGGTCTCAGGGAGAGGAGAGCAACAAGGGTAATCATCGGTGTTAGAAGAATGACTGAGGTCCCTTCTGCCTGTTCAGGTGGACGTTAAAGATCCCGTGGCACTTTTCGAAAAGAGAAGGGAGTTTCCCTCTCCCAGTGTCCTGGCCAACAATATTCTAAATAAAATTAGTCTTTTGTTTCATAATAATAATCCTTGCATTTGATATAGTGCCCATCACGTCTTCGAGATGTCTCAATGCGCTTCAGATAATATACTGTAATGTGAATTGACTGTATATTTTGTGGGTGAAACCTAGCAGCCAATTGCAGACAGCAGGGGTCCCACAAACAGTCATGGATTGAGTGACCAAATTATCATGGCCATGTGTGGGACATGTTTGCGCCCAAATCAGCATTTACCTACAAAATACAATCACTGCACTTCACAATAAATCCATGTGAAAGGTACCATATCAAATGCAAGGATTATTATTATAATCAAAACACGAAATACTGCAGATGCTGGAATCTGAAACAAAAACAGAGAGAGCTGGGAAAACTCAGCAGGTCAGGCAGCATCCATGGAGAAAGGAAAGTGAGTCAACGTTTCGGGTCCACAACTCTTCGTCAGAACGGATTATTGTTATAATTTCATTTGGCCTTATTTATAGAACTAATTAAAAAATAGAATCACACCACTTTTACGATGTATCCTCTGAGGTGCTTTGAGACAAGGCAGTACATAAAAATAAAAGGATTACATTTCAATATAAGTGCAGAGGATTCACATTAGGTTACAGATTACTTTATTGGGTATTTTGCATATCAGCACATACTTAGCATGAAGGTCATTGATCTCTATCACAAGAAAATATTTCTTCTCCAGTTTCCATTTCTAGATCACCATCTTTTCTTGGCATACGTGTCAAAAGCAGAACTTTGTCCTTCTATGTCACATTTAAAACTATTTATTGTCTCCACCTTCCTGTTACAAGAAAATGTCACAACACTGGTTCCCCTGCAACAGAGAAGGTTACATGGAAAAGGGAGGGGAAGGAAAGGGCGTATGTAATCTGCTAGAAGTTTTCACAATTCTCAATGCTTTTGGCATGATAAATTGAGTAAGAATATAACAAGGCGGTATAACTCTTTTTTGAAGGATCATGACAAGTAGAGGCTGGTCGAATTGTTTTATAATTGTTTTCTGAAGTGGATTGAAAGAAGGATAATTCGTATTGCGTTGTCTACACAGCCGGTGGTGAGCACAAGGGAATTACCACAAGTGACTGTTGAAGCCAAATCAATCATGGCATTTCCAAAGCAATTGCATTGCTACTTCAGGAAAACTAATATTAAAAGGAACAGGGCTAGAACAGGGCAATAATAATCCTTACATTTGATACAGCGCCTTATCACGTTTTCGAAACGTCTCAAAGCGCTTCACAGAATATACGCTAAAGCGAATTAACTGCATATTTTGTGGGTGAAATGCGGCAGCCAATTGCGCACAGCAGTGTCTCACAAACAGTCGTGCATTGAGTGACTGAATTATTATTATTATTTGGTACATTATTATTAAGATTAGGATTAGGTTAGAGAATTCCAGTGGTTGAGGGAGCACACGCACAGACACAATGGGTCGAATGGCCTCCTTTCATACTGTTAGGTACGAAAGGTATACCTAAACCTCCTAAATAAAACCACAATAAATTCAACTGACCTTCTTATCCTCTGCACTGCTCCATCAATTACGCAGTTGACTAACAGCTACTAGGTTGTTAATACTAACAACTTTATAATATTTGATAAAATGCCGTACACTCAGCAGCCAATTATGTTATGTATCCTCTGTGTGATGGGAAGCCAGTGGAGTTGGGAGAGGACGGGGTGATTGTGTCACGGAGCCTGGTGCGGGAGAGACACAGGCTTGTAAATAATGATTAGTTATGGAGGATTATGTTATGTATGATCATGACTATAAGTGTTGATTCATATGATTATGGGTAATGTACTCGGTGTTGTTTAATAAGGAAAATGGGCAATTGAATGACCTATGAAACCCCTGAAGTCAGCAGTAAATTTAACCTAGCGGTCAGCAGGCTGGTACAAACTGGTTTAGAGCTCTCAAAGAAGTTAGAGCAAGTGACATTTTCCAGAATGTCAGAAAACAGTTTCAAGGCCAGGACAGCGAGACTGGGACAAGGAGATTAAGAGCCAGGAGAAGAAGTCACGAGGGGCGAAGGAATGTGTGAGAACTCATCACTGAGGGGCAACGATATAATGAACACCAGGTGCAGGTTAAGATGAGCAGATCTGAAGGAAGGTAACCGTCAAAAGGTGATGTGACTATAAGAGTCAACACTTTCAGAAACTGAGTGAAATTGTCTCGGATCGGGGAGAGAACAGAGGAGGAGGCTCTGTGGCCGCCCTTGCGAAGCGCTGACCTCTCCGACTGAAACCACAGAAACTCAAGATTGAGAAGGACTCCTCGGAGGACGAGCAGGAGGGCTGAAGGAGGGAGAACCACACGGACTCCGAGTTAAAACTCAGAGACCAGCAAACCGGCAGCTTTTCCAGTCGATCGTGCTGATCACCGGAGAACTCCGGACTGCAGACTTCAGGGGAAAGATCGACTAAGGCAGAATGGCACAGACACACCAGAGGGAGGCAGGGGCAGCCGAGAGAGAGAGAGAGAGAGAGAGAGAGAAAACAAAGCCTTGTCACAGACTCCAGAAACCAGTCGGATTTAACCGCTGATCCAGTCTCCTTTCCCAGCAAACCTGTTCTACCGACCAGGGTGGTTGACTGCTAGTTACCGGTAGTATAGTTTTGCACTTCCACACATCCATGCATAACGCGCCCTCTTTCACTTAAAACCTTTGATGTTATGTGATTCAAACTTATGATTTATCGAACTGTATTCGGGGTTAGTTTGCGACCAACTACGGGAAGGCATTTGATCTATTATCTGTTTAGTTTAATGTCTAATGTTCATTTAACCCTTAAGGTATAACCAATCACTCACCCTTATGAGTCTTTCAACATTCGTGATGTCAGTCACAACCAGTTATTTTGATTAAATTTACTTATACTATCAAAACGGTGTTCAGATCTGTGTGTGTGTATCGATTCAGCAGTGGCTGTTTACAGTTGGCGAGCCAGCCAGGAGGAATGTAGTACAAATATACAGTCAATTCACTTTACAGTGTGTTCTGTGAAGCGCTTTGGGACGTCCTCCCGACGTGAAAAGCGCTATATCAAATGCAAGGATTATTATTATTAACATGGATGGCCCGAGTTTGATTAACACACACGTGAACAACACAATATTCTAGGATAAAATTGTCACTGTGGGTAACGACATTAATAAACAGTGGGGCGGTGGGGCCCGACAATAGTCGACCAATATGTCTGCAGTCTGTGGAGGGAGGAGTTGCGATGGCTGATAAGCAGGGAGTTTGCATAGTCAAGTCTGGATGTTATGAGGGTTTCGGCGGTCTGCGGTGTGAGACAGTGGTGGAGCCGGACGATGTTGCGGAGGTTATAGTCTCTCTATCAAAGAGGTTAAGGATTATAACACCTATATCTGTGTTATTCTCCCTCATCAAACAGGTAGTTGGGTTTTGGATACCCAAAGAGTAGAAAATCTGGTTCGTAAAGTAGATAGAGCTTTTTCCTCCAACTTATTGGCACAGTAGCAAAATATTTGTTTATGAGGGCAGTGGTGCTCTGATTAGTATATTTTGATGGGAAGTGGAAAATCGTTTCAATGTTTAGAAAGTTAAGTAAATAACTGTTGTCCTCATCCATAGTCTCCATCTTTCCAATGAAGTCGTAGTCTATCTGACAAGGGTGACAGGTTTGGTGAAACGGTCGCCAGTGGATGTTAGTAAATCCTCTCTCATTCTTTGGGTCCAACAAGTACTGAATGAAGTGAGTGAAAGTTGGATTGATTCCATCCGCAAACATTTTCTCACTGCTCTCTGGGGCCTGGGAGACGTTGTTGTATAACATAACCATTTTGACGGCGTAGTTAAAGAGGTACGAATTGGGTGACTCGAACTTATTTCGGAACAGAGAAATCAGTCGCACAAATGGGTGGCGGATGAACAAAAACGACCTGTACGATTTGAGGCGAGGCTTCATGAAGCTACTGAGATGTTTGCCTTTTTTCCATTTGTCAAAGTAAGAATGCCCGAAGCCGGTGGAAACTTTATTGGGATCTTTGTGCACGTTGAGGGCTGCAAGGACTCGCTTCCAGTTGGTGCAAGCGACTTTGGCAACTGCACAGTAAGCGATCTTCCTCTGGTCGATTGCAAAGAAAGTTTGAAACTCTCTCTCCGGAATGTCATCGTAAGACCAGGTTTTCCCTGGGAAAGTAATGCCGGGATCTGCACAAACTTCACGAATTCTCAGTTTCCTCTCCTCTTGGATCTGTAACATGCTTAGGCGACTGTGGGTGGGATGGGTGAGCTGCAGGGAACCGGAATGGCTTGGCATCACAGGTTTCCAGGCGGGAGTGTTTTGCCTCTGGCACCAGTAAAGAATGATCAATGCCTGGACAATCAACAGCCCAGCAGAAGCCCAGAAGACATGGAGTCGAACCATTATGTTCAGAAGTTCCCTGAGGTTCCCAAACACTAGGGTCTAAATTCCAATGGATTTAACCTGAAACATTTTTAATATGTGAGAATGTTAATACTCTAAATTCAGGAGTTCTGAATAATATGCAGCTTGTGAAGGGAAGAGTTGCAAATTGTCTCCGTCTTCCCAATGAAGCAGAGTGTTGGCCTTTGCAAGCCTGGACGTGATGAAAGTACGGGTAAGTGACCCAAGGGAAGAGGTAGTGGCAGAGGCGGGCAGTGTTGTGGACGTGGGTGAAGGCTGAATGGGTCGAGGCACAGATGTGGGTTTTAAAGGACAGTTGAGAGTTAAACAGGACACTGAAGTTCTGTACTGGCTCAGGAAGGGTGAGAGTGCATATGTATAGAATGATGCTATCAGCGCCTGAGATGAGAAGGTGAGAAGATGTTGACAGGGGTCAAGCAGGAGGTACCTCTGTCTTGTCAACTGGAGAAGGTTAGCTGTCATCCAGTACTGGTCGTTTGATAGACAATCTGTCAGGACAGTCCTGGTCCCGGAATCGAGAATGGAGGCAGAGAAATAGAGATAGATTTATAGAGATAGAGTTGGATGTCAATAAACAAGGCAAACAGGATGCTGGGTTATATTGCTAAATCCGTTGAGATTAGATTCCACAGACATCATACATGAGCTGTAATGGACTCTGGTCAGACTACACTTTGAATACTGCATACAGTTCCGGTCACTGTGACAAAGAGGGGCTTCCCAGGTCTCAGGGAGAGGAGAGCAACAAGGGTAATCATCGGTGTTAGAAGAATGATTGAGGTCCCTTCTGCCTGTTCAGGTGGACGTTAAAGATCCCGTGGCACTTTTCGAAAAGAGAAGGGAGTTTCCCTCTCCCAGTGTCCTGGCCAACAATATTCTAAATAAAATTAGTCCTTTGTTTCATAATAATAATCCTTGCATTTGATATAGTGCCCATCACGTCTTCGAGATGTCTCAATGCGCTTCAGATAATATACTGTAATGTGAATTGACTGTATATTTTGTGGGTGAAACCTAGCAGCCAATTGCAGACAGCAGGGGTCCCACAAACAGTCATGGATTGAGTGACCAAATTATCATGGCCATGTGTGGGACATGTTTGCGCCCAAATCAGCATTTACCTACAAAATACAATCACTGCACTTCACAATAAATCCATGTGAAAGGTACCATATCAAATGCAAGGATTATTATTATAATCAAAACACGAAATACTGCAGATGCTGGAATCTGAAACAAAAACAGAGAGAGCTGGGAAAACTCAGCAGGTCAGGCAGCATCCATGGAGAAAGGAAAGTGAGTCAACGTTTCGGGTCCACAACTCTTCGTCAGAACGGATTATTGTTATAATTTCATTTGGCCTTATTTATAGAACTAATTAAAAAATAGAATCACACCACTTTTACGATGTATCCTCTGAGGTGCTTTGAGACAAGGCAGTACATAAAAATAAAAGGATTACATTTCAATATAAGTGCTGAGGATTCACATTAGGTTACAGATTACTTTATTGGGTATTTTGCATATCAGCACATACTTAGCATGAAGGTCATTGATCTCTATCACAAGAAAATATTTCTTCTCCAGTTTCCATTTCTAGATCACCATCTTTTCTTGGCATACGTGTCAAAAGCAGAACTTTGTCCTTCTATGTCACATTTAAAACTATTTATTGTCTCCACCTTCCTGTTACAAGAAAATGTCACAACACTGGTTCCCCTGCAACAGAGAAGGTTACATGGAAAAGGGAGGGGAAGGAAAGGGCGTATGTAATCTGCTAGAAGTTTTCACAATTCTCAATGCTTTTGGCATGATAAATTGAGTAAGAATATAACAAGGCGGTATAACTCTTTTTTGAAGGATCATGACAAGTAGAGGCTGGTCGAATTGTTTTATAATTGTTTTCTGAAGTGGATTGAAAGAAGGATAATTCGTATTGCGTTGTCTACACAGCCGGTGGTGAGCACAAGGGAATTACCACAAGTGACTGTTGAAGCCAAATCAATCATGGCATTTCCAAAGCAATTGCATTGCTACTTCAGGAAAACTAATATTAAAAGGAACAGGGCTAGAACAGGGCAATAATAATCCTTACATTTGATACAGCGCCTTATCACGTTTTCGAAACGTCTCAAAGCGCTTCACAGAATATACGCTAAAGCGAATTAACTGCATATTTTGTGGGTGAAATGCGGCAGCCAATTGCGCACAGCAGTGTCTCACAAACAGTCGTGCATTGAGTGACTGAATTATTATTATTATTTGGTACATTATTATTAAGATTAGGATTAGGTTAGAGAATTCCAGTGGTTGAGGGAGCACACGCACAGACACAATGGGTCGAATGGCCTCCTTTCATACTGTTAGGTACGAAAGGTATACCTAAACCTCCTAAATAAAACCACAATAAATTCAACTGACCTTCTTATCCTCTGCACTGCTCCATCAATTACGCAGTTGACTAACAGCTACTAGGTTGTTAATACTAACAACTTTATAATATTTGATAAAATGCCGTACACTCAGCAGCCAATCACCATAAAAAGTTTATCTGAAGAATCTTGGTATAACCTGCCCTTGTCCTACATGAGTAAAATGTGGAGTCCTGTAGCTCAGTGGTTAGAGCACTCGCTTTGCAAGTGAGAGACCTGAGTTCAATTCCAGGCAGAGGGCGAAACCTTGGGCAAGTTTCCTTACTCCACACAGAGCCTAATAATAATCCCTCCAAAACTAAAAACAATAATTAAATTGGTCATTTTCAATCTACGACTGTTTGTGGGACATTGCTGTGCGCAATTGGCTGCCGCGTTCGCCCACAAATATACAGTCAATTCACTTTACAGTGTGTTCTGTGAAGCGCTTTGGGACGTCCTCCCGACGTGAAAAGCGCTATATCAAATGCAAGGATTATTATTATTATTATTATTAAATGTTAACCAGCTGAATTATGAGAAAGGCAATGCCCTTAGGATGTTTAGCCAGCAGATTGGGGGTGGGTGGACGGCAGGGAAGGAAGCAGGGAGATTGAAAGCACGTAGCCAAGACATCCCGAGGTGCTTCACACAATATACTGTAAAGTGAATTGATTATATTTTGTAGGTGAAACGCGGCAGCCAACTGTACCCAGCAGCGTCCCACAAACAGTCGAGGATTGAAGTGACCAATTTTTTTTTGAAGGGATTATTACACCTGGAAAAGCGATCTGCCAATCGACTAACAGGTGGGTTCCTATTTACTGCTAGATAAAAAGAGGCGTATGGAGTAAGGAAACCTGCCAATATTTCGCCCTGCTGGGAATCAGGTATCCTCTCGCTTGCGAGGCGAGAGCACTAACCACTTCGCTATGCGACTTCTGGTAGCGTAATGGTTAATCTAACCTTGAAGGTTGCACTTGTGCGATCAGAGTTCATTATGTTGGAAACAATAAACACTAAGCATCCATTGTCAACTGTGCCGGAATCTCTGATACTGATGACAATCCCACACAACTTTGCACCCAGCAAAGTTTAAGATCCTCTTTGCCATCCTTTTTATGGTTTAATGTGCTGGAAACACTTGCCAAGTTTTTCTTGTGGCTTTCAAAATATGTTCACATAAATGTCAAGCCAACGTTGCAGATCGATGGATAGACAGAAAGCCATTGATATATTCTTTACCATAGTAAGACTTTGTTCCGTGATCTTGGCAATGTGTAGATTTACTTTGGCAGGTCTCCATCTCATGAAACTGGTGACAAGAAATGATTTTGTTGAGAAAAATAACTTTGAGCTTCCGCCAGATAATGACGAAAGTCTTAGTTTCCTCTTCAAAAACGATGCCATAATAATAATAATATTAATTATAATCCTTGCATTTGATAGAGTACCTTATCATGTCTTTGAGATGTCTCAAAGAGCTTCACAGACTATACAGTACTGTAAAGTGAATTGACCATATTTTTGGGGCAAAACACGGCAGCCAATTGACCTTTCACTTTTCGACTATATTTATATATATATATATAATATTCCTTGCATTTGATTTAGCGCCTTATCAAGCCTTCGAGACGTCTCAAGACGCTTCACAGGATATACTGTAAAGTGAATTGACTGTAGATTTTGTGTAGTGCTAAGGGATCTTTAATGTGCACCTGAATGGCGGGGCAGGCTCGAAGGGCCGAATGGCCTACTCCTGCTCCTACATGTTATGTTATGTTATGTTATGCTATAACAGGCATGTCGCATCTGAAGGACAACGCCTCCAACAATGTGACGCTCTCCCAAGACTTGGAGAGTCAGCCTGGACAATGTATGCTCAAAATCACAACTTTAGGCTTAGACCCACAACCTTCTGACTCAGAGGCAAGAACTCTGGATCACTCTAACCTCCACTTTGCCCCCTCTCTCCCTTTTTTCAAGTCCCGCCTGAAAACCTTTCTCTTTGACCGTGCTTACGGTCAAGCCCCCACCGACACATGCCCCCCCCCCGCACCTTGGCTTGGAGTCAGGCTCCACCACTGTTAAGTAGACGCTCTGAGACGCTACCTTGTGTGGAGGGCACTATATAAGTGCAAGTTATTGTTGTTGTTGTTGCTACCAACCGGGCTGGGAGGTACACCAGCACAAGACAGCAGAGGGGACATGGCTTTCTGATCTGGGCAGTAAACCTTTTACAATTCTCTTTCATCCGGATCTTTTGTTCTCCTCTGTGTTGCTAATGTTCATAAACAATTTTTTTTTATTTTCCCCAGAGCAAATTTAACAAAAGTAACAGAAGGATGGTTATGTTCTGGTGATAAACATGGATTTCAGAAATGTGCTGCAGCGGCGAATACATTGGGTGTCGAGAATCAGATGCAATCTGGAGCCTCTTCATTGCCAATTACTGCGGATCCAATCGAGCAGATTGCAGGAGTCTTAAAATCCAGTCAGAACTAAATAAAAAAAAACGGCCTGCCTTACACTTTCTCTTACAATTTATGGTGGTGGTTTTTTTCACCTGTGTTGGATGTGCAGCTGTCAAAAACAAACCACTTTCTCTTGAAGTGAAATTATTTCCTTGGGTGGGGAATCCAGAACAAGGGGCACCATCTTAAAATGAGAGCTAGGCCATTTAGTAGAGAAATTAGCAGGTCGTCACTGACCCAAAGGGTAGTGTAATTATGGAATTCTCTCCCCACGAAGGCTGTGGATTATGGCTGATCCATACCAAGTCAGAGTATCAAGGGTTATGGGGCAAGGGCGGGTAATTGGAATTGAGGTACAGATCAGCTATGATCTAATAGAATGGCGGAACAGGCTCGAGGGGCTGAATGGCCTCCTCCTGTTTCTATGTTTCTAATGTCTTGCACTTTCTCATACTTACACTCGTGAAGACCTGAAGCATATTGGTTTAGAGGCAGACAAGTCTACAGGTTGGAGGTATAATGGTTGAGAGCTCAGCTACAGATGGTGGTGCAGAGTGGTCAGGGGAAGTGCACAGGACCGTGTTAGCTGAGAGTAAGGTGTACATTTTTTTCTTATCACCAAACACAGGACACAAAGCTGAAAGAGAATGAACAAGACACAAAACGTGTCCAACGCTTTGAGACATCCTCCCTGTGTGTAAGGCGCTGTACAAATGTAAATTGTACTTTGTATAAGTGACTGGGCATGTAAAAAAATCCCCCAAAGAAAATTAAAAACATGGATTCAAATTGACAGCAAATCCTGGTAATAATTGCACGACAGAATATATATGTATATCAGCATAATATAGCAGTGCAGAATTTTAATCGATGCCTGAGATTCATTGAGATTTGATTAATATCGATCCACAATAAATGAAATGCAATTAAATTAGATTTGATTGGACTCAATCAATGGTTATCTATGTTTTAAGATGTACATGCCTAATAAAAGCAGCAAGTAAGCAGAAGCATTTATAGAATTCCAAACGCGGTTGAATCTGATTAAGCTGTAACGAGCCAGTCAATAGGCAAACAAGAGCTCTCTCAATGCTGTTCTCGATCCACTAGAATATATTGTAAAAAGCTTCACAGAATATACTGTGAAGTGTAGTGACTGTATATTTTGTGGGCGAAACGCGGCAACCAATTGCGCACAGCAGTGTCCCAAGAACAGGCATCGATCGTTTGACCAAATTATTATTATTTACTTGGAAGGATTATTACCCTCGAAAAGTGATCCGCCAATCGACTAACAACCGGGTTCCTACTGACTGCTTCGTAAACAGAGTACCAAATAGGGCTCACAAATTTCTATTGTTCTATGGTTCAATGTCTTTCAGCCTCAGTTCGGGTGCCCAGTGAGCAATGTTAAGTGCTCTGAGATGTCCTTCCTTTCCCGACTTGAAAGGGGCTATATAAATGTACATTGTATTGTTTTACGAAATCGATGTGAAGCACAATTTTACTGTCATTTTAAATGGGAACTCACGGAAACAGCGAATCTCAGATTTAAGCTTCCAAAAAAAACACACTATTTTGGCCGAATGACAAGTTGTGCAAAACAATAGGAAAGAGAGTTAATGGCTTTATCCAGGGTTCAAGGAATAGTTCACCTCCGAGGATTTTAAGATCGTACAAACACCTTAATTGCATTACATCCTTTTTCATTTCTTCCCGAGTCACCGTTATTATTATAGAGTGAAATAATTGACTTCTTCAGAAGGAAAAGGTTTAAGAGTGTCTCTAACCATAATTAGATTGGCGAAGAATGCAGAGCCATTGAAAAATGTACAGCAATGGGAGAAAGTGTAGAATAAGCAAAACCCATTTGCTCCGTACTTTTCTCAGGCAAGAAAAAAAAATGAGATCAATAAAGTGTTCAGTAAAGTTATAATTCATATAGTCTTGTAGGCTCCGCAAATGTCTGACTCAGTAGTTGACTCTTCGATCATTTCATCTGTGCCCGTTGGAGCTAATCGTTCATGCTTGGAATTAAAAACATTCTTTAGGGTCAATCTAATACTCGTGGAAACCCATCACCATGCTAAAATAATCTCACAATGTACTTTTTTGACCTTGTCTTTGGTTCCTTCCCCACTCCCTCATCTCCCAATCCCAGTTTGTGTGCTCAGCCAGCACTATAAATAATAATAATAGTCCTTGCATTTGATACAGCACCTTATCTTGTCATTGAGATGTCTCAAAGCGCTTTGCAGGATGCAATGTAAATTGGATTGATTGTGCAGCTTGTGGGTGAAACGCGACAGCCAGTTGCAGACAGCGATGTCCCACAAACAGCCAGGTGACATTCACCGTCAGGGCACCGAACAATAATAATAAGGATATTATTATGAATTAGTATAGAACCTTTCATGTCACGGTGTCCCAAAGCGCTTCACGGGATATACTGTAAAGTGTTGTGACCGTGTGTTTTGTGGGCGAATGTCACTCTGTGTGAGAGACCAGAGGGGAAGAGCGGAGACCAAGTAAATGTTCCAGCTGCTGTTAAATCAAAAATGAACTTAGGAGGAGGATGTATTTGTGCCTACCGTAGCATGGCATCCAGTTTACTGTGCCATCTGGCCTGCTTAATGTGTACAGTCTAGTAACACATGCATTTATTTACCTGCTTTCTGAGAGTCATACGCAGAGACTGTTCACTCACATCTGTCGTTTAAAGAGAAATATGTGTGCAGCAGCTTATCATTAAATCATTCTTTTTTTCTTACATTTTCTATTCGTGATTTATGTAAATTAACAGAGCGTTACCATTGTTAAAAATTAATAATAATAATCCTTTCAGTTGGGAGGTTGACCGTAAATTGCTTTGAGATGACCTCCTGACGTGAAAGGTATTATATCAAAAGTAAATATGCTGGGAATCAAAGTCAGGTTTCTCGCTTGCGAGGCGAATGCCCGTCGATAAGACGTGAAAAGCGCTATATTAAATGCAAGGATTATTATTATTATAACCACAGAGCTACAGGACTCCAGTGGTTAGAGCACTCGCGGGTAACAAGCTCACAACATTCTTAAAAGTAATGTTCCATAACTGATACGGGACCTTATTTTATTCTTCAACGTTACAATGGTTCCAAGACTTGAAGGTAATTACTTTCAAATGCTAACTCCTGAAATCAGGAATCAATGAAAGAAGTTACATAATCGACGAGTACAGTATAGTGGTTTCCAATTTTTTTTAATATACAGCTCCTGTTAAAAGTCTCTTCTTGATATTCTTCTTTCCCACCTGGAGAGAGTTTAAAACCTTTCCAACCCAGGCTCGCGCACAAAGGGGTCCTTTTAGGGGAGGGAAGAGTTTGTTCATTTCTTTGTTGCGATGGGAACCTTGCTGCGCACAACTTAGTTGCCTACAAATACTCAGTCACTACAGCTGACGTCAATTGCCTGTGAAGCCTTTTGAAACTTCTCAATATTGTAGATGCCTTACCAGATGTAAGTGTGAGGACTAGAATTTTATGTACTTTATTTGATTGCAATTTGTCAGATATTCTCAGTGCTTTGACGTTGACATCACTCGTCTGAACATTTCATTGATAAATCCACAATAATCTCCATTTTTCCTTCCTATGGAGCAGATTATGCAACTATCCCATTTAACACACTCTCTCAGTTTTTGTTCTCTGAACAAACTAATTATTTCACCCAACCCCTCTCCTTCTGAATCTGATTGCTTTATACCTATTACTACTGCTATTATAAATCATCCACAGGTTTTGTTTTGGATTTTCTTGTCATATATATAGGTGTGTACATAGTTACATAGAGTCCCAGGATTGACCCAGCAAGTACATTGTGTGTAATTTATTTACAGCCCCAAAACATTTATTTTTCTTTTTACTACTCACTGGTTCCTGCTTTTAAGGCAATGTCCTTCTCAGTGCCATATTTTACTGCCTTTACAAAGTAGTTATATCCATTAATCCTGTTAAACCTTGTTCACAAACAGTGGTTGCCTCTGAGTCAGAGATTGTGGCTCAAGGTCCATTTCGGGACTTGGAACCTATGCAGTCTAAGCTGATATACCAATGCGATGCTCTGGGTGTGTTGCATTGGTGGAGGTGCCATCCTTTGGATGAGATGTTTAACCAAGTCCGCGTCTGCCTGTTCATATGGATGTTAAAGATCCTATGGCACTGTTTGAAAAGAGAAGGAAGTTTCTCTCTCCAATGTCCTGGCCAACAATCCCCCCAAATAAACTTGCTCCTTCATTTCCTGGCTGTTTACGGGATGCTGCAATATGCAAATTGGCTGCAATGAGTGGTCAGAAAAGACAGTCACTACCCTTTACAGTATATCCTGTGAAGCGCTTTGAGACCTGAAAGGCACTATACCAAATGTATGGATTATTAATATATTACTTATAAGCCAAAGCCCTTTGGTGTAGGATGGTCCTTGAGGGATAAGCGGTGGGAAGTTTGCCAGATACTGCTTTCAATGGCAAGCTATGGTTTTTAACATATTAAACTCCACCATTAACCCAACCTGAGCCAAGTACTCCCCAGAATTAGGTAAGCAGGATGTATCCGTCCAGGGAGAGGGCAGGGCGCTCATTCCATTCCAACAACCTATCTCTGGCATTTCCATGCGTCGGTCAGATGTATGGAATTGGCAGTTTGGTTTGGATACTATTAAGCACGGTGATGAGTTTCCGCATGTTTCAGACACCTGGCTGCCAAAGAAAAAAAAATCCCTCAACTAATAATAATAATAATAATAATCCTTGCATTTGATATGCGCTTTTCACGTCTTCTCGACGTCTCAAAGCGCTTCACAGAATAGACTGTAAAGTGAATTGACTGTATATTTGTGGGCGAAACCCGACAGCCAATTGGGCACAGCAGCGTATGTCCAACAAACAGTCGTGGATTGAAATGATCAATTCTTTATTATTTTTTTGAGGGATTATTATCAGGTGTGTGGAGTAAGGAAACTTGCCCAAGATTTCGCCCTGCCGGGAATTGAACCCACTTGCAAAGCGAATGCTCTAACCACTTAAGATCCGTTTCAAAAGTTTTTCTCACGACGGATGTAAAATGTACTAAACCGCACTTCCCGGTGCTGTTTGTGACCTTTCTGAGGATTTATTTTGGTTTCTTTATCTTCAGAAATTGCCTTTCCCGCCTGACACATAAGGGAGGTGTTTAACAAGACCAGAAGCAGTTCAGACACTCTTTCTCAGTCCCTTGTGGATCCGAACAGCACTGGTGGAGTCTGATAATGACAGGCGTGGTTAATGAACAGGAAAGTCTCTGTTCTCTAAGAGCTTTCGTTTACAGGTAATGTCGATTTTATTGGTGAGAGTGGTGCGAGCAGTTCAGCTGCAAAAAAATCTAATTTGGCCCCTGCGAGTTGGGGGAAGATGAAGGAGATCTTCCTGCTGTGTCCAAAATCATTTCAAAATCCTGGTCCTCACCTGCAAAGCCCTCCATGGCCTCACCCCACCCTACCTCTGCGACCTCCTAACCCCCTACCAACCCACCCGCTTTCTCCGCTCAGCCGGCTCTGGTTGCTCCACGTCCCCCGCCCCATCCGCCCCACCATTGGCGGGAGAGCATTCAGCCGCTCTGCCCGCAACCTCTGGACTCCATCCCCTAATCACTCCGCCTCGTACCCTCCTTAGCCTCCTTCAAGTTCCGCCTCAAGAACCTCCTCTCCGACCATGCCATTGGTCACTCCCTTTCCCCTCCCTTCTTCCCCCGACCCCAGCTCGGGTCTGAAATGCTGTCACTGTCCAGTGCCGTGGGACGTCCTCCCGATGTGAAAGGTGCTATACAAATGTAATCTTGTTGTTGTTGTATATCACCAGCTCCGCGAGGCACAGTGAGATGAGTGGAGGGGGGGGTCAAGCAAGCAAGAAATAGATCAGCCCTCGCTACATCTTCCTTCCTTACAATGTAATTTACCACGATTCTTGGAAAGGTTCCGTAATCTTTTGGATAATGAATTTTCCGCGCACTCATCGGGTGGTGCTGTGTCTGGGCTGGTGTCACTAAGGAACAGAACGGAGAGAGCAATAATGATCGCAGTCTGATTAGAGGTACCTCTAACTTTGATCGTCTTTCCCTCCCCATCCCTTCAGCTCCGCCCGCGGCCTGGGTGCTCACCCAGCATTTGGGACGGTGAGAAAGGCACTGTGTAAATGTAAATTGTATTGTAATGGGCCGCGAGGCTGATTCATTTGAATTCGGGGATGAATTTTGGATAAGGAAGGGAGAACATAAACCAGGAGAGACCGGGTTAAAGTCTCCACGGTTCATTTGAAGTAGAGACGACAGGGAGACCCTTTGCACCACCCCCCCAACCGTGCCCTGAATCACAAGTCAGACGGGAGCAGAAATTAATATCACAGTCAGAGAACGAGAATGGCCATCTCACTAAGAAGTGAAGCAAAACTTGCACTTTGATTATGAAAATGTGAGCGAGAGGAAGCAATCCAAGTGATCTAGATTGCCTGGCTGTTCAGAAACTTGCTCGAGACTTCCTTCTCCGTTTCTCCTCTGGTCGGGGGCCAAATGTCAAGATCTTGTCCGATTGCTTTGTTCAATACGTCACTGTTTCTTTGGCATTCGGTGCACTAGGTGGCAGCCTATTCCATAAGTTAATCACGGGCTCCCTCAGGTTCTGTTTCACTTGTGCCTTGCTCAGAAAATAACTCTACATCTACACATCTTATTTCCTATTCCCTGGTCAGGGTTCCCTGCTGGAGATGCGGTTTGATGGCGAGGACAGCCCTGGAACCTCATCCTTTTCGACCGTGCTTACAGCCACTTCCCCGAATCGACACCCCACCCTCCACCACCCACCAGCTCCACCACTGTTAAGTGTTCTGAGAGAACATCGTGCTTGGAGGACGCCATATAAGTGCAAGTTGTCGTTGTATGTGCTGCTATGATGTCTGATGAAGCTCACTGTCAACCTCACGTATGAAGAACAAGAGTCAATGCATGGAGCAGAGGAGGCGATGGGAGAAAATTGTCAAGACAGAAAAGAACTGTAATCTCTTAAATTCTAACCTATATATAGTAAAATATAGAGTAATAGTAATTTGGGCAGGAATAGACCATTGATTCATATATGCACCCATCCAACTTCCCAAACAATTTCAACCCATCTGTTTCGTAATCCAACAGCATGAGTTCTGTGTCAATATTTCTAACTCCCTAGAATCTTTCTCATATGAGATGTTCACTGCTTCAAACCCAACCGCGCTCCCCACTCTGTCCCACTTGGAGTATTTCTTCATCTCAGTCTGCCCCTACCTCTTAACTCTCCTTACAACACTGTTGTCCAGCAGCAGCAGTGTCAATCTGGCTCAGTCAGTAGCACTCTCGTCTCTGAGTCAGAAGGTTGTGGGTTCAAGCCCCACATCATGACTACGCCCGGTCTAGGCTAACCTCCTGTGTAGGTGCTGTTGGTGATGTGCTGTCAGAGGATTTGTCCTTTGGATGAGATGTTAAACCAAAGCTCCTGTTTCCCTGTTCAGGTGGACATTAAGGATCCCAAAACACTTTTCAAAAAAGTGAAGGGAGTCTCTCTCTCCTGGTGTCCTGGCCAACAAACTCCCAAATAAAATCAGTCATTTACTTCACGGCTGTTTGTGGGACATTGCTGTGTGTAAATGCGTTGTTCTGTTCACCCATAAAATACACAGTCACTGAACTTCACAGTAAATCCAGTGAAGCGCTTTGAGATGTCTTAACGATGTGATAAAGCGTTGTATGAACTGTGAAGGACTATTATTATCCAGTCCTAAATTAAACCTTTATGCCGCATGGCTTCCAGCTACAAACTAACGAAAAACTCAATTTATAGTCTGTCCTGGTAAAATTATACATTTAAAGTATTGAATTGAATGACTTGTGATACTTCTGAAATTACATAAATCCCCCCAAAAGTTATTTGCCACTATTTTTTTTCCCAGTGACCATTGGCGCTCATGAAGTTGATGGATCTCAACGCTGCAAATGGAATTTTCCAATTTCTTTGGTGGATTGCTACACATTTACTCAGGTTCCACTGCTCTTTCTTCATTGTAAGTGTTACAGGCTCTCGATGATTAAAACTCCAGGAGTTTCAGGATAATCACAATGCGATTGAGCCCATGTATTTGGTGGCAGCTGAGCTCAGTTTATAGCTCTCCCCCTCCGAGGCATAAGGTTGCGGGTTCAAACCTCCGAGTTGTATGTTGTGTGCAAAATGCGGCAGCCAATTGCAAAATGTTTGCAAAATACAGTCACTCCACTTACAGTAAAATCCTGTAAAGCGCTTTGAGACGTCCTCCTGATGTGCTGAAAGGTGCTATATCAAAGGTATGATTATTATTTTATCCCAGTTCCCACTTTACCATGACTTATATTCCCCTCCTTATCCAAATTTACCCCGATGATGCAAATGCGCTGGCTGCTCTTTTCATTGTTGTTTACGACCTTTACGTTGCTGTTGTTGTAGAACAAATCCTTTATCAATTGGACATTGCTGTTCTCTGCTGTTGACTCGTGGCTGCACTGTGTGCAGTGTCACAATTCACATGTACAACATTTCAGTGCAATGATTTAGAAAGGAAACACGAAAGGGCAATCCTTGTTTGTTTCCAGATTTATTTGGGCCTCAAAAGCTTTAAGTGAGGAGAAAGATCTGTCGGTATTGTTGATAAAATAATAATTCCTTTTCAGTCTGTTGAGTTTTTACTATTGGTCAGACTGATTGAGGGGGAAATGGGTTATTAGACCAGTCCTATAATAATAATAATAACAATAATAATAATCCTCGCATTTGCTATAGCACCTTAACACTTCATCAAATCATCTCAAAATGCGTCACTGGGTTTATTTTGAAGTGTAGTGACTGTGTTTTTTTAGCCAAATACAGCAGCCAATTTTTGCACAGCAATGTGCCACAAACAGCCATGTTTCATTTTATCCGGAGAAATGTTGGCCAGGACACCTGCAAATAACAGTATCACAAGTTATTCAATTCAATGAATTTAAATATATATTTTGTAGTGTTTCAACCATTGAAAGTTTCCCACTCAGCCCCGTCCCATCGCTGCTCCATGTTCACTCACTCACTCACTCACTCACTCACTCACTCACTCACTCACTCACTCACTCACTCACTCACTCACTCACTCACTCACTCACTCACTCACTCACTCACTCACTCACTCACGGGTTTCCCAGGCGAATCCCCGGATCGTGATCAGGAGCCAAGCTGATTTCTTCCTCTCCAGCCTGGAGACCCAGGAGACCCAGGAGACCCAGCCCCAGGCCCCAGCACAGTTTACTGACCCAAGACCTTTTGAATAAAATGCATAACATTGGTTTCAGCACTAGGGACAGTGATAATGTCCTGACACCAGCCAACCATGTCTGGTCTTGTGAAACAGGTTAATGGTTCGTTGATTGTCACTTCTGCATTTTAATGCTAAGGACCCAAGTCAAGAGGCAGAGGGGACAGAAGGTATCAGTCAGCCAGTGAGCTAGGATTCTGATTAAAAACAACTCAAATCAACCCACTGCCTTGTAATGAATTCCTATTGTGTAAAGGAGTAGATTGGAAACGCAGATCCTGAGAAATAGCCACTGCCACAATAACGCTGTCAAATACAAGGGGCTGGAATAATTGGTGGTCAATGTTATTTTATTATTGTACCTAAGACTAGGTGGAATTTGGGGTCTCTAAAGGGGGAAACAGTTACCGGCAAGAGCCAAAGTACAGATAAAACTCAGAATGCGATTCTCCAAAATGCCGGTACAAATCCTAGACTCCTGGTAAACCACAACACTGACTTATTTGGTCACTGAGAAGTTTAGATAAACGGTGGCTGTGGCTCTTGCTTTGGAGCGTGATAATAATAACAACAATAATAATCCTTGCATTTAATATAGCACCTCATTATGTCTTTGAGACATCTCAAAGCGCTTCACAGAATATACTGTAAAGTGTAGTGACTGTATATTTTGTGGGCAGCCAATTGAGCACAGCATCGTCCCACAAACAATCGTGGATTGAGTGATCAAATTATTATTTTTTATTTTACTTATTTGAAGGGATTATTACCCCCAGGAAAAGCGATCCACCAATCGACTAACAACTGGGATCCTACTTACTTCTGGTGATCAGATCCGTATAGAGTAAGGAAACTTGCCTCAGGTTTAGTCTTGCCCGGGAATCGAACCCGGGTCCTCTCGCTTGCGAGTTGAGTGCTCTAACCACTGAGCTACAGGACCCCAGGCAAGTTTAATTTATTGCCTCAAAGTCAAGGGAAATCCCCACCCTGTTGTCCCCCGCCCCCTGCAGGCTGGGGCTCGGAAAATTATATAAAAATCACCGAGCAACGACGTAAATAAATTGTCAAAGCATCGCTGATCCATTGATTAACTGAAGCGCTGTAAAAAATGTCCTCACTAATCTGCACAGCCCCGTGACAGACCTGATTACCAGCTCACCGCAGAATTTGTGGCTGGGCTGAGAGCACTGCCGACTGACAGCCAGGCTTCAAAATAAATTTTAAAAATCAATGAATAAAATTACGAAGTTATTTATGTCCACTTAAGTTCATTTTATGGCCCAACTGTCCTCCTCGCAGAATCAAACGGTGACTGCAACATTGATGGATGGCTTTTCATCAGATTGCAAAGAGACAGAAAAAAAAGTGTCCGATCCCCAGTTCTCTAATTTTACCTGTCTGTTATATCAATATTACCTTGTGTGTTAAATAAAGATCTTTTACCTCAGCGCTACATGGCTACAATGAATATTTAATATTCATTTTCAATGCTCCTTTCTCACATTTGTATTTGAAGGGTAGTCTGCAATGATTGCTCCATGCTTAAGATTGTCCCTCTCTTCTAGCGATGATCCAGGCTGGCTGGTCTGGAAGTTGGTAGATGTCTACCTCTTTGTCCCTGCCTCCGGTCACCCTCTTCACCCCTTCTGAATACAACCCCCAGCTCAGGTGCAAATACTTGATTGTCCAGCACCTTCGGACATCCTCCCGAGATGAAAGGCGCTGCGTACATGTAACTTGTTGTTGTTGTTGTCTGTCCTCCGTAATGCTGTCAAGACATTTCAGACATCTGGTTGCATCTCTCAAGCACCTCTGAAAAATCTCTTCAACCATGCCTTTGGTCACCCTGAAATCCTTCCAGCTGCAGCTTAGTGCTCAGTGCTCTCATTGACGAGCTATTGGACTTGCCAATGTTGGGGGTGGAATTGGCATTGTACGTGCCTCGTGGCAGAGTGTAACCTTTTGCCAATTTCATACAAATCTTGGCAAGTGAGGCCTGTGAAAGTCTGATCAAGTATCAAAATCAGTTCAATTCAATGACATTGTTAGTTTGTGATTCAAACCAAAGTCATTCTCAGTCAGACACATGGCTCATAAAGATGTAATAAATGACTGATTATAGCGCTGGGAATGTGAATTGTACTGCATTGGCTGACATTAAATTTACTTTTCTCAAAACGTCGGTCATTTACTCAGGCTTGTCTACTCTTTAAATGAACGATTCAGATCAACCAACAGTGCACCGACCTGCTTCATGCCCAATCCACCCCATCATCGTTCTGCCCCTCATTCTGGAACTCTAGTTCAGGTGCCTAGCCCGCTATGTTAAGCGCTTTGAGACGTCCTCCAATATGAAAGGCGCTGCGTGAATGTAAATTGTATTGGGCTGTATTTATAACCACAATCTTATAACCTTCAGCCCATCTGATCTTCTCCCTCCAGCACACCCGCCCTAGCGTCCCCTCATCATTGCACCAAGCTGCTTCTTAAATGAATCCCAATGTCCTGGCCTCTACCACCTTTTCTCACAACCTGTTCCGGTCGTTAATTACTCTCTCCTACCTTCTGTTGCCAGTAGATTGGGGAGTGTGTGTGAGTGTGTGTAAGTGTGTGTGTGTGAAGGCACAATTATTCCGAGCATGACAATGTAAATTCCAGAAACTGGGAAACCAGAAAACCATCAACGTCCAATCTGAGTCTGAGTTGTTCTCAAGTGTCAGTTGTCTCCGCTAGATTGTGCAACCTTGAATGCAATATAAAACCAGATCAAAAGAAGGTTGAAATGCATGAAATTAATGGCAAATTAGCTCACTAGATTGGAAAGTGCTCGGAAGGAGGAAGCAGAAGTTGGTAATAGATGGAAAAAGCTCAGGGGGATGATTCAGTCTCTGTTCTGAGTCCCTGCTGTTCACATTATTCATAAAGAACTTGGAGGCAAGCACTTCACGTAATATTATAACATTGGCTGATGATAGCTAGCAATGTGGGCAGGTGACGGATATAAGTAGGATAAAAGCATTCGGCAAAGATCTGGCTCAATTGCTGTACACGCTTTCATACTCCTCGGGCAAACTGCACTCTGCAAACAACTGCGAAATCCAAGTTTTCATTTGTTTCCATGGTAAAATTCATTAATGTGCGTGCTACAATGAATATTTTGGGGCATATTGACAGGGTCTGGCTGAATGTTACATTCAGAGGAGATACGACGAGTCAGTGCACAACACTCATGCTCCAATGTTTAATGGCGCCCAGCAAAATGCAGACGTACTGAGATAATAATAATAATAATCCTTGCATTTGATGTAGCACCTTATCAGATCTTCGAGACGTCTCAAAGCGTTTCACAGATTATACTGTCAAGTGAATTGACCTGTATATAATGTCGGCGAAACACTGCAGCCAATTGTGCACAGCAGTGTCCCACAAACAGTCGTGGATTGAGTGACCAAATTATTATTATTATTTTATTTATATATTTTTTTTGAAGGGAATACTACCTCTGGAAAAACGATCCACCAATCGACTAACAACCAGGCTCCTATTTACTGCTAGGTAAACAGGGTTTGTGGGATGTTGCTGTGCGCAAGTTATCAGCTGCTCTTGGGTTTAAAAACACAATCACTACACTTCACTGCGTGTGAAGTGCTTTGAGATGTTTGATGTTCACGCTGCATCAAATGAAAGGATAATTAGCATCACAGAAACTGTTTTTGTAGGGAGATTTTTGTGTCATTAGCTTTCTCGACTCCTGGAATGACAGGATAGCATTAATATTCCGATAGCAATTAACAGAGAGGTTTAGGCATGATTCTTTGTACATGAAGTTTGAGGGTTATTTGCTTTGTGTTTTGTGTTTAATTGGTTGATTCTCAGCTTTGGTGAGAGTGAAAGATTAAAAAGTATGATAATAATATTTGCATTAGATGTAGCTCACCCACCAATTAAGGTAAACAAAGGCATGTGTGTGTGTGTGTGTGGAGTAAGGAAACTTCCCTAAGGTTTTGCGCTGACCTGCCCGGGAATCAAACCCAAGCCCTCTCTCTGGCGAGTGCTCTAACCACTAGGCAGGGTGAAACACTGGGTAAGTTTCCTTACTCCACACCCCTCTATTTACCTAGCAATACGTAGGATCCTGGTTGTTAGTCGATTGGCTGATCGCTTTTCCGGGGATTTGAATCTTTATATAAAAAAAAATTTGGTCACTCAATCCACGACTGTTTCGCCCACAAATATACAGTCAATTCACTTTACAGTATATCCTGTGAAGCGCTTTGAGACGTCTCAAAGTCGTGAAAAGCGCTATATCCAACGGAAGGATTATTATTATTATTCTTATTAAACTACAGGGCTGCACCCTGTGACTCAGAAATGAGAATGTGATTGACCGAGCCAGGCTGACACTGAATAGTGCTGAGCTAGTGCTCAGGGCAAGAGCAGCAAGGGATGTGTTCAGGTACCACTGTGATGGAGCTCAACATCACTCAGTCATCGTAGTATTTATAACATTTCCTGGGGATGGAATAGAAAGGCGAGAGTGAGGGCGATCTCAACTGTGCTCCTACACATTCTTCCTCAGTTTAATCACAGATATCAGGTGAACTCAATTTATTTAATTCTACCAATTAAGTTGGTAAAGGCAATCAGCAAAATATTTAGGCGGCATGGGCACGATTGTGATCAGCTGCAAGCGGACACCGGGAAAAGCAGCAGAAAATTTAATCTAAATGCTATTATCATGACATTGTAACATTCCTCCCTTTTGGGGGGCGGGGGGAACAAGGGAGTCAGAAACGTACGTTTACTTGTTAAGGTTAAGCTTTATTAATTTCATGTTCTCTTGGCTATTTAAGCCCGGGCTCAATGTTGACCGTAATTGCATTGAGACTGCCAATTAAAGGAAGGTGAATGGACTGGGGAGTTGGAGGTCTATTGCGTTCCTCATTACTGCTCCAACTCAACGGTCTGGATTCCAGCCCTCCGCCACGTAAACCGTCCATCTCCACATTTTGCTGAGATGCTCTTGCAAGATTGCTACCTGCGGCTTTGACAATGGATAGTGCTTTTTACTATTCATAGCCTTCGCTGGTTTGCTGTTCCAATTATTTATTTTTCTCCCCCGTGCGCTGCCTTGGAATGGCAGAGACGACCCCTTTTCTGATCTGCTGTTTACACTGATCTGATCGGATGTGATGGGTGGAAACGGAGATGGGAAACTGAGGTGAGGTGGACTCATTCTCTTAACACTGCCCCTAAAAGGAGACCCCAACACCCACCCACTCCCCCTCTCGCCCCCTCCCCCCACTGCCAAGGACGTCTCTCTCTCTGTAAAAACTGAAGAGCTCTAGCTTTTCTCAACGATTCTCATAGCTCATTCCTCCCACACTGGGGATCATGCATGTGCTCTCCTCTGCATTGCCTCTGTGACCTGGGCAGGCCCTCTTACGCTGTCTCCTTTTAATGATATAACTGGTGCTCTGTATTCTACACTATGAGTTTAACACAGTAATAAATGTTGCCCGCTAATGGACTGAGAAAAAAAGTGGTAATTATTACGTGGTGGATTGCATTAACTTTGGCTATTCTGCCATTTTCCAATATTTTAAAACCTATTATGCCAGCAGTGCAATTAATCACCATCCATCCAGCTTCATTATGGCCATCGGAATAAAGTCAATACTTTTCATTTCACTTTAAAAAATTTATGACAAATTTGTAATATTTAATGAGTTGAAAGCTCATGGCCGTGATAACATCCCTCATGAAGCAATACAAATGAAATGCTCTGACATTACTGCCGTGTCTGAAACAGACTCATTAGCTTGACGTGAGATAACTGTAATCTTCTGAATGGACGTTTCTGAAAAGGTTGCAATTGCAGATTTTTTTGGGTGGAGGCAATAAACCATGTGTTTTATCTGGCGCACGACAAGGCACCCCTGATGTCAATATATCTTTCTTTGGGATGTTGTCAAGTTTTCCCTGATTCTCTTGAAAGATGTTCAACAACCGTGTGTCAGCCTGGCTCAGTCAGTACGCCACACTCTCCTCTGAGAGAGAAGGTTGTGGGTTCAAGCCCCACGTTGGGACCTGGAACCCATATAGTCTAAGCTGACTATATCAATGCAGTGATGGGGGAATGTTCCTTTTTTGGAGGTGCCGTCCTTCGTTTGAGAGGTTAAACCAAAGTCCCGTCTATTCACATTCAGGTGGACGTTAAAGATCCCGTGGCACTGCTCAAAAGGAGAAGGGAGTTTCTCTCTCGTGGTGCTCTAGCCTGGCCCACATTCCCTCGAATAAAAATGGGAGGAATGGACATGATTAAACAGAGCTTTCAAAACCAAACACAGCACAGGCTGAACACACTTGGTTCGGACAGCAGTAAGGTTTTGAACCAAAACCTTGGAAGGAAGCTTATGTCAAAAGTTTGGCTCCAGGTGGCTTCTCTTCCCATGATACCAAGCTCAGGTTGATCAAATGATGGTCACATCACCAGCTGCAGATGGTATCTTGTCTGTAACTAACCTTTGCCTCAGCTCAGCAACGGAGGAGCCTGTTTCTCTCTAATGCTCCTATTTTCCAGCTGTGCCCCAGAGAATCCCCTGGGAACATCCGTGGAGAAATGAACATGCAAGCGGGCGAAAGCATCGCCGATTAAAAAGATATGTTCCCTAGATTACAAACAGCTCAATCTCATTCAAAAC